TTTGTCCGTAAAGAACACGAAATGATTATACATTTTAAAAGTTGAATAACATACAAAAATACACATTTCTTCGAAAAATAAAAGTACTTGCCATTGTTTGAAGGTCTCCGTTATTTTTTAACGAGTAAATTATTTTTTGGTTCTACTGTAAAATTTTTGATTTTTTTTTTATTTTTGGGTAATTTTTAAGCAATAGTTTTCGTAAATTTAATTTTATGAATTCATGACTATAACTATATTTAGTAAATAATCCACATTTTACACATTTTGTTAAAGGATTTCCAATCATTTTTAATCATTAAATTCGAGAGTGCCTGTTTATAATTTGTTTAGTGTCTAAAAGCGTCATTAATTTAATGATTTAAATAATTTAAATCACCAACTGCGTTGCGTAGATCCTAGAATATAAAAAAATAAATCGTCCGTTTCGCGATTTAGATAGGTAAACATTTTCAATAAAAAAACATTTTTTTTGTTAACTTTATTTTCAAATTACGAAAATATAATGCATATTACGGACTTTTTAAATGCAGTTTAAATCAAAATAAATTTAACAACCTCCGAAAATATTATGAATGTAATCAAGTTTTATTTGTATTTAAGGAATATCATGTACATGGTAAAACATTAACCAAAGTTTGTGTTATTATCCCCACCAACATTTTTATGACATTACCTAAACATTTTGCATAGTAAATGCTGTTCAAATTATAAGGGTTTGAGGGTTCCACTTATTTTTTACCGAGTAAATTATTTGTTTGTTATACAACTGTAAAATTTTTGTTTTTTTTTTAAATATTATTTTTTTGCGTAATTTTTAAGCAATTATATTTTTAATTTGATTTTAGGGTTCATAAGATTAATTAATTAATTATTTGATTAAACAATCCATATTTTACACATTCTGTTAAAGTATTTCCCAATCTTTTTACTCATTATATTCGAGAGTGTATTTTTGTGATTTTTTTAATTGTTTAAAAACGGAATGTCATTACTTTAATAATTAACTATATAAATAAGCGAATTATTAAAAAAAAGAAAAAAGAATCACTGATTTAAATCATTCTGTTAAATTGAAAAATCGCTGATCTATTGGACTGAGTGAAATCAAGTTTTATGTGTATTTTAGGAATATATAAATGGTAAAACGATAACCAAAGTTGTCTGATTATGGCCACCAAAATTTTTATGACGTTACCTAAACATTTTGCATAGTAAATGCTTTTTAAATTATAGGGATTATCATGAAAATATACAATGCGCAAAATCAAACTTTATCATTTTTTAACATTGTTGGGTTGTACTTCAGCGGCGAGGGAAATTCTACCACTGTGGACAATTTTTTTATTTTAAAAACAGATATAACAAAACATTAATTTATATTTTTATATTCGGGGAAACTTCGTAAACATAAATAACAGTTTTACTAACGTAGCAGTGTAAATATAGTTGTTAGTATGTAGTAAAATACGTAAAAAATGAAAATTAAAATATATAGATAAAATATAAAGTGCTTTCAAAAATGTAATACAATAAACGTAATTAAAACTCCTAACGTTTGATTTTTCTTGCTATTTTTTGAGTCTTAATTCCAAATATGTAACTGAAAACCAGAAAAAAAATTGTGATAAAAAACCGTTTTTTCCGACCCTGTACAAAAATACACATTTTTTTTCAACAAATTAAACACTTGCAGTTGTTTCGTCACACAATTGTATTTTTTTTTAATATTATTTTTGGATAATTTTTAATAAATTGTTGTAAATTGAATTTTATGAATTCGAGGGGTTTCTATAATGTTAAATATAGATCCAAAAATACTTGACTTTAATTAATTTTACAATCATTTTTAATCATTCATTTCGAGAACGCATTTAAACGATTTTAGTGGTGAACGGCTTTGCTCCTAGAATATTAAAAAGTAGATCATCCGTTTCCATGTTTGTCGTCTGTTGGTGACTTTATTAAAACACCGTATAAATAAGTAAATTTTGATTAAAAATCACTGATTTAAATCATTCCGTTTTTTTGTTAATTTTCTTTTCAAATTACGAAAATATACTGCATATTACGACCTTCTTAAATGCAGTTTAAATCAAAATAAATTGAACAATCTCCCAAACTATTGGACTGATTGTAATCAAGGAATTTTTAGGAAGTTTTTCTGATTATCCACCAACATTTTTGACGTTACCTAAAAATTTTGCGTAGTAAATACTTTTTAAACTTTTAAAATAACGGTGGTTTATGAAACCGCCCCGATTTATTTAATTTTTAGGGGTTATCATGAAAAAATTAAATTCGCATAATCAAATTTCATCATTTTCTGAGGAAGCCGTACTTGTAGGAGCTGTAGTTCCGCGGCGAGCCAAAGTCTGTCTACTACTCTAGAGTATTTTTTATTTGAAGAACAGATATAACAAAGCTTTAATTAAAAATATTCGAGTAAACTTTGTAAATATAAATAACCATTTTACTAACGTAGCAGCGCAAAAAAAAATCTTTAGTTGTTCATATGTGTTTAAATACCTGGAAAATGAACATGAAAATATATAGATAAAATATAAAGCGCTGTCAAAAATTGAATAAACGTAATTAAGACTCCTAAGTTTTGATTTTTCTTCCCTATTTTTTGAGTTTTAATTTCAGATAATTGAAAAACCAAAAAAAAATCGTGATAAAAAACCGGTTTTTCCAACTCTGTACAAAAATACACATTTTGTCGAAAAAAAAAACATTTGCCGTTGTTTTGTCATACAATTGTGAATTTTTATTATTTTTTATATTATTTTTGGATAATTTTTAAGAAATAGTTGTAAATCTGATTTTATGAGAGCGCATTTAAACGATTTTAATGGTGAACGGCGTTTCATTGCTCCTAGAATATTAAAAAGTAGAGCCTCCATTTCCATGTTTGTCGTCTATCTGGCGTAGGTATATGTCATGTAATGGTAAAACGCTAACCAAAATTTGTCCGATCATCTCAACCAAATAAATTTGCTCACTTCATGTTACAATTTTTCGAAGTAAATCCTGTGTAAAATAGTATATCTGTCTAAACTTGTGATTTATTAATCTGTCCCTGTTTTCAACTCTGACCATGTAGATTTTTGGAAAAAAAAATTCAAAATCGTAGGACACTTTTCATTTGAGGTTAATTTTCTGTGTGTCGGTTTTTGGAAAAACTCAAGACTGAAAGAATCGTGGCATATGTGTAATCAAAATTCATTTGTTCATACTTGATGACGTCATCTCAAAAATCAAAAATAAGTTTGCGAGTTGCCAGAAAATGTTAAAACATATCTACCTTATAATCTACAAGAGCTGGCATTTATTAACATTGATTTTATAATTGCCGAACAACAATTAAAATGTCTTTACCACCCCTTGCAGAAAGGTAATGTCATGGTAAAAATTTATTAATAATAAAAATTTTAATGATCATTCTACACAATTTTTACTCCTGCGTTTTGAGAATAAAATTTTGAACGGGAGTTCCAACCACATGTTTGTTTGTTCTTAATGTTGTAAAAACAGTTCAGAAACGTTTACAAGGAGCACAATATGTTTATTGTTTGTAATTTTTAAGTCGTGTGAAACTCTGATATTGAATGATTAATCGAAGCGTAACAAAAATATTTTGTCAATTTTTTTCATAATTGTTCAAGGTGCCTTTATTTGTATTTGCTTTGTTTTTAGAACGATATTTTTATAACGCTCTTGTCGTATTTAATTGATAAAAATATTCGTTGTTTTATTGGTGAAGTTTAAGCAAAGCCGAAATTATGCTTGTATTTGATACAGCTTTTGTGATTTTCAATGTTTTCGTTTTAATTTTCACTGTATTGTGAAGATCCCCGAAAGCCCCTCTTTCTCATTAAGTATTAATCCCGAACGCATTGCGCCTCGTTCACGTTTTTCCTTAAACTTAATTGGAAATAATATCCCCGAAATCCATCAGAAAATTTCGGAAAGTTATTCAATTTCCCGTTTCGCAACATCCAAACTTCCCGGCTGTGTCAGGGAGTTGCAGGGACTGACGCTCGTTCCTGAAAAGAAAATGTAATTATCCTTTAAAAACATTCTATACGTATTCGTGTCCGGGTATATGATCCTTTGATAACATCCAAATAAAAAAATCGTTGCCGGTTATATGATTAAACTGGGAGGAGCATAAAAGACAATGGGTGTTGGTTAAGTTAACAGTAGGGTAACAGGGAAACGAGAACCACACCTTGGTCTCCCGCTTGGTTGAACCAGCCGTAACCGAGTCTGCTGGAGTTTCGTCCGCCATCTTGTCGACCCGCGGTGATAGAGCGCTCCTTTTACTTTTTCATCATGTAACTCATGCCGGGCTTTAATTTCGTCCGTATATTAAACAGGTGTTGTTTTGCTTTGTTTATCGACGAATATGCCGTTGATTAATGGTAAATTCTATTCGAACTATACTAATTATCTAATTATTTTAACCGAGCGAACGCTCGATGAAGACGCCATTTTTCGACGCTTTTAATTAAGGCGGGAAGAAATTGAAGAATTTCATTACGCAAATTGGTTTAAGTTCGTGCCACGTGGTTTTATCTTGTTTGACTATTACACAATCTACTGAGATAATAATGTTTTGTTCTTTTTCGCCAGCATTGTGTTTGCTTTGATAAGCTCAAGATTTTCGGCTTCGAAACTATTCACTGATATCAGTCAAGTTCATGCATTCCGCAACTATAACGAGATAGAGAAGTGCATTTTGAGCTTAGCTAGCTTGTGCTGGATTCGATTTACTTAATTGCTTTAGCGCTATATTAATTTTATCTTTGAGTACATACATAAGATAGATAATTCGTTGACAATATCAATTCAGTGTTTGTTGAAATTACGCCATTCCCACGTTTTCTCTACAGTCGCTCAAATGTGTTATTTTTTTATGGTTTAGTGCATATTCGTCATAACGTCGGTGGTTAGATGGAAGATCTTGACACGTTTTAACTCGTTTGATTTTCTAGGATATGGATCTTATAGAAGTGCTTTGGAAGCAGGACGTAGATTTAGGATTTTCTCTTGATGCGGCCAACGGGAAAAACGATAAACCGGAACCCGATTTGCAAAATGGCTCACCATCTTCATCTATTTCCATGGAAAATGATGAGATTGAGAAGCTAAAAACATTGAAGGCGATCAATGAGGATAATATCAAAGTTAGTTATCTCGGTATCATTTTGTAACGTAACTAACACTATTGTTATCATAGGAAGAACCTGAGAACGAACTTGCGGATCCTTGGGCAGGCTTCAACTATACCATAGACACAGAAACAGGTTAGTACAATCTAGCTTTAATAGACACCCATGCGTATTTAAATTATTTTGTTTTGCATAATGTGCACGAGGAATTATCAATTACAAGATTTTACGCTTGATATTCCAGCCAGCTGTAATGTTACGGTTTAACGTAGCTAGTTTGAATAAATTGGGTGATGATGGTTCCACTTTGGTCAATTCCAGGTCGGAATGATAAGTTTTCGGCGAAAAACGCCGATTGTTTATGTATAAGTGAATCAATCAATCAGCGTGAAAGGTCTTAAATATAAATAAATGGAGTGGAGGAGAATAATAACGTAGTAATGCATCTCCCTTATAGGAGAACCCTTGCTCTTAATGTAAGAACACTCCGCTCCATGCTGTTCAGATTGATGGAAAGCATCGTTCGCTACAGCCAGATTAATAACTTAACAATGGAAGTTAGATTCCGTGCTCTCTGTCTAAAATATTCCTACGATAGCTTACTTTTATGAGTAATGATGGTCGTCTGACAGTTGAACCCGGACCGCGATGATCGGCAAAATTTTTCTATTCTCCGGAGAGCCTTTGATAATTACACAAAACTTTCGAACTCGTTGCATTCTACGTCGTTTTATGACAATTTTTCACTGGTACGCATTGCCCCCGAATCTATATGTGTCTATACGTTATAATTCAAAAACTAGCTTAGGGTGGGCCTTCTTGGAAATATTCTCGCTCCAACGATAAAATTGAAGAGTCATCCTGTATGTTGTATCGAATAAAACCGGGGCCATAGCCGAGTTCTCTTTCACAGCCAGCACCTGTCTTTAAATTAACTAATTTAAAATTTTATTCCACTATTAGTATTTATTATGGACGGCAAAAAATGACGGCCGGAGATACGTTCCAGAACAGTAAAGGTAATTACAGGGCACTGTCTAGGAGCACTCGCCGGAGTTCATTTTCAGATTCGCTCGATTTCGAAAAATTTCATGTCTTTCCACAGCTGACGCTCCGAGACAGGTAAGTACGGAATTCCTCACTTCGGACCGAGGAATATATTACGTCCGAGGGTTCGAACGTATTAAGTCACCTACGATTGACATTGTAAGTACCAAACATGTTCAAATGTTAAGTCTTAATTAAAACGGGACGACTAGCTGGTCGTGCGTAATCCGTAATTAGTAACGTAATTGCAGCTGCAGGAAAGCCATATTGTCATATTTTGCGTATTGATAAAGTTGGGATAGCACTTTGATAGATTGGTTGCGGAGTGATTACGTATAATAAAATCTGAATAGTGAAATATGACAGCCACCAATTTAGGACATAGGTTAGGTCAGATTACAGACAGGTACACTCACAAATATTGACTAATGGTCCATCTGTCATTCAGCAGTGATAGATGCCCATTTACACAGAGATTTCAAGTACCGATAGGAAGTAAGGTACAGATGAAGGCTATCATTGTTTTACATGCTTACAGTCTGATTCAATTATTCAGATGACATTTGATTAGCGTAAAGCGCATTGTACTAATTGTGCAACGTAAATAATAACATTTACAAAAAAGGGTAACAATGTACCGCAAATATAAACAGATAATAGTAGATGAAAGTGATTTTTGATGGTGAATACACCTGTTGCAAGCATGAGTCGACGGTCAAATTAGCATATCGAATAGCCAATGAGCTTGCATCAATGATGTAGTTAGCTTTACGAGTGTTACAATTAGAAAAGAGTCTTTGTTGGACACTCTGCACAAATGTTAGCCACTTTAGATGAGATGCTTGCAAGTTGTCATGACTCCAGACTTTGGTGTTTTCCTTGTGCATGACGCCACGCTTCTTAGGTGATACAACAAACAATGTAAGCACAATTCATTCAGTGGCCAATGCTGGGGACAGACCTTACTAGACACTATGCAGACTAAAATGACTAGGTGTTTTACAGGAATTTACAACCTGACTACTTTATTTAACACGCCGCACCGGATTACCCCGTTCACGGACTGACTAGGTCAAAATTTAGCACCATCATACGCTAACGCAAACGCGCCACATTTTTTTCAAACACACACGCTCAGATTCGAAATTAAGACATAGGTGCGCGATTATCACCAGCACGAATCAAATAGGCAACCCTTAATTCACGCATCTTATCTTATCAGACGCGTCACAGATAGAAAAGAGAGCACTTTTTCATTCACTTCAATTGTAGACACAAAGAGATCAACTAAATGGCAGGAAGAAGTCGGGTTTTATCATCTTGCGACTGCAAACAAACCGAAAAGTTCGTAAGCGAATTTGAAATTGCGATTAATTAAAAAAAAAGTTAGGTTATATAGTAAAAAATCAAAAGACGAACGAACCGTGTTTGTGTTGGTAGCGCGGAATTCGCAAGTTTTTTTTTTGGTTTGTAAATCTATGATGGTCAAATTTTAATTATGCGTCGTAACGGGAATGGTGGTTTTGAGTGGCTCATCTGAGTGTGATGTCTGTTAAGTTGAAAAGTCAAAGCCTGTCATTAAGTGAATATCTCAGAAGAAATTCTTTGCTACCTTTTTAAGTGGATTATAGTCAGAGTCATCCTTTGTTAGGAATTTAAGATTACATTGTTACAACACTCGAGTGGGCCCAAGGTCTCGTCATTTCCAGCTCTATTGTTAATGGTTCTTTGCCTGTTTCCCCATAAAACAATCGCCAATGAAAATTAACTCCACTAGTCACAAACATAACAGTACACGAAGTTCAAATTTCTACGATTTGCCGCCATAAATCACAAAATCGCATCAGATTTGCATACGAACACTAATTAAGGGTTGCATACGTGGTAGGGGCCTGGCGAATTTTTCGCAATAACAAGTTATCCGGCCCACTAAAAACCAAACAAATACATGAAAGTCGCTCAAAGCAACGAAAATAACAACTCTCCAGCGCAGGAAGTGCAAAATTGCATAAATCGCCACTTGTGAAAATTCTAACCTCAAGTGTCGCAGTTTTGCAAGTGGTACACGAAAGTGCGACTTTTTCGTAAAAAACGATCACGAAACCACCTTAATTGTTGCATTCTCTGGGGTGTCGTTGGTAGTGGTTGCGCGCATTTGGTTGTTCGCGCTAGGTGTTGTTTTTTCAGAGCAGCAGTGTAAAACGTGCCGGTCCTGATGGTTGGTCGGTTGGGTGTTTTAATTGGTTTTTGGGGTGTGCGTTGCTGTAGGGGTCCGAGGGTAGTGCTGGAGGTGGCAAATAGTTGATGGAAACGTAAGATTATAAAAAAGTTGCAGTGCAATGCTATCATCATTCGGGGTTAGAAGGAACCCGGGTTCTGCCCCTCTCTTTGGAGCCCCTCTGTCCCCTGAGCAAGTTCCCTTTCTCTGGCCCCCATTGTCTGAGTGGCAGCCATATTAGCTTGGAGCTCGCTCTGTTGGGCTGGGTCCTGATTGGCTTTGCCTGTTTTCAGCTCCGCAGTCATAGCTTCGATAGCACACATTCAATTCCTGCTGCTCGTGCTACGGTCATGTGTCGGTTTAAAATGTTTTGTGCCCAAAGTTTTTGTGTTTGGTTCGATTTTACTGGTGGACTGTGAAAGGACATGATATTTGGATATAGTGTGTATTTATCTGTGTTACGGTGATTGTGTTCTGAAGGTATGTTGGCTTCGTAAACAACATCATTTGCTCACTGATCTGATCTTTACCTATGCATTTGCGTCGAGGATCATTAGGGCCAACAATAGGGCCTCTATGAAATATTAATGATTTTTGTTTGTCGTAGTTTTCGCTTGTCAAAAATCTTACATTGTAGCCAAATTTATGATTAATGACGTGCCCTAGGTAGGCATACTCCAGGGAATTGCTCCATGACACGACGAAAATTATTTCATTTTCTAATTCTGAGTAATGGTCTTTTGCCCATTCCGTCGGTTTTAATATTTGACCATCCTACCACCAACCCCACTTTATAGAATCTACTAAACAGAGCACATGGCAGTTAGATTCTTCCACGTTTACAACATCCATCCCTCCGGACTATAAATAAACCTACAAAACACGTTTTTTATAAACAAATTTCGTTAAAAACTTATTATTTTTCACACTGCGAAATCACGTTGGCGTGTCAAAACTCAAATAAAAGTGCGCGCGAAATTCAAATTAATCAAATTTCGAAAAATGCAAATTCGCGGCGGTTTGTTATTGCAAGAAATACGCTCGAATGGGATTATTTTGGTGGTATTCCGGCGGAAAAATCCGGGAGTCCGGATCCGTCGGCCGCCGGGTATTTGATGGCGCCTTCCGTCGAATGGCGTCAGTCGTCTTGTTAACATTCACAGATCAAACAAAACGATTCCATTTAAGTTGATAAAATCATAGTGGGCTTTGTGTGCCATTAAGTGTCAAAATCCGCATTTTTCAGTTCTTTTGCCGTCGAAAATCTTCATCAACGGTCACAGGATTCGTGTGATTTTATTTGTTTCTGAGAAGCCATTAGTCGAAATGATTCGAAAATGAAGCACTTTAAAAGGTGAAAATTGCCGTGGCTTTATAATATTTCTAAAGATTCCTATCTTAAATGATGCGGTCGGAGTCTGGTCTGAAGTACCCTTTTTGGACCTGCTGTTGTCCGTCAACGTTTCCTTTGTTTTGTTTATTTATCTTTCATATACAAGAAATGGTGATTTTTGACACTTTTTGTACACTCGAGTATTGAGAGTATTATAATGAAGCTATTATGTTGTAACCAAGGATGTTTTTCTAAGTACTATCAAAATAATTATTTGAATATCTCAGGGACACCTTTTATTCGAAGCATTATTCAATTTTTGGTATTATGATCAACAGAATCTTCGCATTTTGAGAAAAAACGCATAAGAAAGGAACCGTGATTGAAAAAAGCTTTTGTAGAGTTTTGTCGTGTATACTAGTGTCGCACTCCACTAAACTGAGTTAATAAAATGACGCAAACCGGCTTTGTTAATTCTAAAAACGGCTCTGTAAGAATACATAAATCTACAATCATTTTCGATTTTTTTTCGATGTT